GTTATGATGCTTGCGTTGTAATAACACTGTCACAAATACTACTGATTGCCATACTGGTATTTTAACTAACTGTTGGCAGGTATTAATGATAGTATTCGTATATTTTAGTGGTACTGATTTGTGGTAACGTTTTGTGCATATTGACACTACATAAATGCTAAGTATTCTTATTAGTTACTGCAAACAATCATTATGTTGTAACAGTAGTTGATATATTATGTACGGTATTGGTACCAGTATATTACAATTGTGCTCTAATCAGAAAGCACTAATTTAGCCTGCAAACAGAGATTGCAAGAGCAAGGCTTCTTCGTCCAGAATGGCGACTACTACTGTCCTTCCGACTACCGAGCGAAATTCGGCATCCGGTGTGCCGAGTGCTCACAGTACGTGGAGGGCGATGTGGTGCACTTTTTGGGCGCCTCGTACCACCCGGAATGTTTCAGATGCACCTACTGCAAGTAAGCGGACAAGCGGGTATTTCTCGGAAGACCAGTACCTCATTGATGGCCATTTTTAGGAAAGAGATCCCTTCTGGCAACATAAACTACAACGGCCGCGATCGGGCATGCCAGCAGTGCACGAACAAGATGGCGGCCGAGCTGAAAATTTCCTCGTCGGTACCCGGTGAAAGTCAGACAGATCTCGTCGACGGAAGGGCATCCCCCGTTGGTAAGCCATAGTGGAATTCCTTCCCTTTCGTCATGTAAATGTATGATGCCGTCAAGGCGACACTGTACTTTAGGGTGCCATTGGATTTTTCATTTTGTTACTTCTGTTCTTTTACGCAATGGGTCGCGCGCGTTCACAGCATTAACTGTTCGATAAATGAATAATTTTACGGAACTTGGCGTCACTTCCTTCTCATGCTCATAATGGTTTTCTTTCTGCCGACTGATAAGAAGGTTCTTCCGATTTAATGTGAGAGTCAGAAAGGTAGTTGCGATGTCATTAATTAGCTTATTAATAAGCCAGCTTTTTTCAGATTCCCCTTACAGTTTCTAGGTGAAGGTAGAAAAGCAGTCGTTACTGATTTGCCATTCAGTCTGAATTATTAAATACTTTGGAAAGTAGATTTAAATATAAAAAGCGTTAAATATAACTGATATAAAGTGTAAGAGAACTGGTGTAAGAGAATGCGGATAAACATGAATATAGCCAAATATAGCCAATATATCTTGATCCATGATTGGAGGCACCAAGATCCCAATGGCGCATGGTAACACTTCTAGTGCAGCGTATTTCGTTGCCACGTCGGCAGTTTCACCTGGGCACAACTCATAAGGGTGGCAGTTATTCGCCGTATCAACACAGGAGAGGGAAAGAATACCTAAGTTACGGAAAACGCGAGTGACTGACCAGGATCAGATTAGCTACAATTCGAAATCGAAAACGTCAGTCGTATTAGAGATGAAAGTCCGTTGATACGTTATCAAAGGAACAAGAAGTGATAGAAATACAAAAAATAACGACGGTTATCACTACGATAAAAATCACAACGATTTAATGAGGCGAACTAGGAATAATAAAAAGGATAGAGAAAATATATCGGAAAATGATGTCTTCAAGGTTAGAAAAGCACTATGCAGAAAAATATGATTTGGTCGAAGATAAAAGATATAGTTAAGTTCCTGTGGAAGTTGAAAGTTGTAAAAGAAAGCTTGAGGGTCAGAATCATCAAGCACAAGCAAGAATAGGGTGAAGAAGGGAAGAGAAAATAGCATGATGATGGGAAGTTGAAAAAAACTTGTAGTCACGTACAAACGTGAATATGAAAGAGCAGGCTGAAAGCTAGATTATGAAAATATCCTTGAAAGGTTCGAAATAAACGATGGTGAATAAGATGATCGATTAGATGCCAGAATAAAAAAAATGCCACTGGTGAAAGTATTGAAGATGGAGGTTATTACGACGTTGAAATACAAGATGTTGAAGAAGATTGTTGAGTTGAGGAAAAAGTGGATAAAATGGCATGAATAAGAAATTTATGCTAAAGAATAGATTATAAGAAACTACAAGGAAAAATATGGGTGAAAAAAATAGGTGACGATGAAGAAGTTTTGTGTAGAGGACAAATATGATAAGCTTGACGACGGAGATTTTGAAGATTCGGAAATGATGACAGAGGTTAAGATGGATGATGTTGCAGAATTTATTGAAGATTGTCATGGTGATGAAGAAAACCGATTGTGATTAACCACGTTTAGGCCATGATCATTACGAAGGTGGTTATAATTACAAAATAATGAAAATCATAATTCAAAAATCATTATCGAATTGAAAAATAAAAAATAAGTATCAAAAAATAATGGTAAAAACTTCTTGAAAACTCAGCAAGTAAACGACTGATTGTTAATATAAGGAATAGAAAGGTGAAGGGAGGGAAAGTTCAGTGAAGATGAAGTAAGACAGGAAATGATGAAGACTGTAAAGAAGAAGGAAGAGAAAGATGAAGCAACTGGTGAGGAATAAGGTGGTAATGATGATTATTATGACTGAATATAATTAATTTAAGGTAAGGGTGGAGCATGGCCTGAATGTGAGGGGGGTTGAAAATGAAGAAATATGTCATATGATG